TGTTATATGCTAGCAGGAAGAACCCAGTGACAGTAGAGATTGAAAATATAAAAGAGAGGTGATTTTAACTTGACCCTTTTTGTGAGTGTGGACTCAGCAAAATGAGACACACAAAATGGAAATCTGAAGTTCCAATCTGGTCCATATGCTAGGAATTTGACAGGTATAAAAGAGAAACTATGATGATGCGGCCTGCTCATATAATAGCTAATCTTTATTAAGCGCTTACTATGTGCCAAGCACTGAGTTAAACACTTCGCCTGAGTTAAACACTTCGCCTGAGTTATCTCATTTTTATTCCCACAACATCCCTATGAGGCAGACACTATTAATCACCTTCATTTAACAGATGTGGACATTGATTAACAGAATGTTCAATGATTTGCTCAAGGCCACATAGTTACTGTGTGCTGGATCTTTCAGAGCCTTCAAATGACCTTCTAGAAGAGGAAACTGAGGCTGAGGGAGGTGAAGTCATTTGCTCAAGAGCCCTGTATCTAGTGAGGATTGGACCTGTATTGCAAACCCAGGCTCTGTCTGGTACCAAAACCATGCTTTTAATCACTTCACTGTCATGAATGGAAGCTATTAAAATAAAGAATATGTGCATATTTTTCTAGATCCAGATCTGTAAGGCAAAATGTTCCTTGAATTTAAGTGGTCCTAAGAATTGCCCTTATTCCAGAGAATTGATAGTGAGAGTAAGTACTTCCTTGTAATGTACCACACAGTATAATGCAGGCTGGGCATTTGTAGAAAGCCTCATGCTGAAAGCAGAGACTGAAAAAAACCAGAACTACTTGGGTAGAGTGGCAACAGCTGAGTTCTCATGTGACTTTTTCAGGTGGCCTTTTCAGCAGCCATACTTCTGTCCTTCCGTGCAGAGAATACTCTGAATGAGAAAGCTCCTGGCTCAGGTGTCTTTCCTCCTCCTGGCCTAAGATTTGCTAACAAGCTGTTCTGATGCCACTAGCCCAAGTCTATAGACTGTAAATGTTATCCTAGATGTGAAGTATAATAGAGCAAGCAGTGTGGGGCTGGGAAGAACATCCCTTTAGGGATGACTGGCTCTCTGGTGGGAACAGCATGTGGATCAGGAGAGGCATATTGTTGTACTGCCCAAATCCCCACTTCTGTACTCACTTGTTACTGCCAGAGTTTTCATTTGTTGGTTGGTTTTTGAAACATAGCTTGACACTAGTCTTCATATTTGGAATAGTATTAATGTTTAATCAGATCATTATCATTCTTTATTCAACAATGTAATTTACCAGGTTTTGATGTTTTCTTAACTTTGGTTCTGTTATATCCAAGGACCAGCTTGGGTGTGTGTGCATGCACATGTGTGTGTGAATTCTCTCTGTTTTGATAAGTCCCCTTCCAGGTCTATTTTTTCTGTAATCAATAGGTTAATGGAAAGGGAATGAATAGAAATGTGGTCTCTAATAAACCACGTGAGAAGTCATGTTTTCATTCTATATATACATATTGAGCATTCTATGTATCAGGAGCTGTGTGAACTAAAAAGCTGTATAAAATGCAGTCCCTGCTGTCAAAGACCTTATTCTACATTTCTTCCATTCAGCAAGTGATAATACTACCTGGGTTCCTAATCCCTTATTGTTCTCCTGGTTGGCTGATTTGTCTTTCATCAGCAGTAGAGCCTAGGAAGATCTTTAATCTCAACATAGTGGATTTGAATTTAAGATTTTGATAGCCAGAAATAAGATAATAATAATTACAATGTTGATAATAGTAAATTGAGAATGAAGAAAGGAAAGTGGGGACACATATAAAGATTCCCAGGAGGTGATAGGTTCTGGACAAAGTTGGTATATTTGCATGGCTCAGTGAAAAGAGAATATAATTTCAAGAGTCAACTTAATATTTCAACTAGAAGAGTATCAGTTCTTTGGTGATAGATGGGGGGAAAGGCTTATGGGAGAAAGTAAAAGGAATAAATTGTATTCACTACCTTTCTTCCACATGAAAAGCTCTTTTTGATTTGACTGTGAATTCTGGGAGAGCAAGAGGTCTTGCTAGTGGATTGAGGGGAAAGAGAAAGACAGAACACTGGTTTTCCAAAGAGTGGAGCAAACTGAAGGGAAGATGGAGGTGCAGATAGCCATAATAACAACTGAATAAAGTCTCTTCTCTGAAAAAATATATGCATAAAATATTTAACTGACATTAAAGATTAACAATGAATTAGTGAAAACACCTAAAACACTTTATTTATGTAGGAAGTTTTTTTTCCCCTTTAGAAAATATGCTGTTTTGGGGTGCCTGGCTGGCTCAGTCAGTGGAGCATGATTTTTGAACTCAGGGTCATGAGTTCAGGCCCCATGTTAGATGGCAAGCCTACTTAAAAAAAAAGAAAAAAGAAAAAAATGTTGTTTTAAAACTTAAAATCACTTTTATATGTGACTCAGTCAGAAAGTAGGTTCCAGTAGTTCCTCCAGGTCTCTGGAGGGGTAAGTACTATGAGGGTAAATGGAAGTGACCTTCAGGTGAGTCTCTTCTATCACCTCCTGCCAACTCACTGTGGTGAAAAGGGTCCAAGTTCAAGAATGTCATGATTGAATGGATTGCTAGGTGTCAGATGTTTCCAGTGGGACCCAGCTTTCCCATCTCCCCCCATGCATGTGTGGGAAGGAGGAGGAAAATGAAAGCCATTTGCACCTGATTCTGACGCCATGTGTCTCCCTTCTCCCCTTGGGGGCTCTGATGGGAAGGGACAGTACCTTCCACCTGGCATTGCCTCTGAGTAGCTTTGTGGACTCCTTTGGGCTATTATGTTGGTTGGTACTTTGGCTTCTTTGGCTCCCAGCACCAGCTGATGCCCTGATCTGAGTCCCAGTTGGGCAGGCTCTATTGCTCCGTGCTGTAGCTGTCTCCAGGGCATTGTTCTTGAGACTTCCAACAGGGCAGATTTGTGCAGTTTGGCCCATCTGGACAAGATCTATAACAAGTAGAGCTCTGTGCAGTAAGCTCATCTCCATAGTCCACCCCCCACTACCCCCGCCTTCGGGCTGCAGCAGCCTGACACTCCAGCCCTGCCATGGAGAGTATCAAAGAGATACTCTCTGCTCTTTTCAAAGGGGTATTGCTTGTAGCCTCTCATTGATTGGCACTACCTGAGCAGAAATGGGAAAACAGGGACTCTCTGCCCTCTTAATTTAATCTCCTCCCTTAAGCCAGTCCTTTAGTTTTGAATCTCATTGGCACCAGAGTTATAATTAATATCATCAGCAAGGTTAACTCCTGGTCCAGCTACCCTGGTCAGCCCAGAATTCTCTCCTCAAAGCCAAGAGATAGACAAGAGGAGTATCTCAGTGAACAGGAAAGAGCAGACAAGCTCAATAGGACAAAGGGGAAAGAAAGGCGAATGCTTGCTTTGACTACAGAATTTGCTTTGGTCATTGGATTTATTTACTTTCAACTTAGAACACAATTTTGAGGATGAGAGGGAGGAAATGGGAGGGAGGAATGAAGCAGAGGGAGAGAGGGAGAGAGGGAGGGAGAGAGATTGGACTCACATAGTTAATTATTCTAGGTCCAGAGAAAAGGGCAAGATATTTAAGAGATAATTTGATCACCTGTCTTCCAGCTGTTAGCCCTGTACTTTAATATTCCCTTTTTGAGTTCTTCATAGTTGGGTCACTTCAAAAGATTCAGCATACCAGGCCCATGCTTCCCCATGTCCCAGTGGTATTTTAGGCCTGAAATGGGCTCTTCCACACCCTTTCTATTCTGACATTTCTGGTAGCTTCAACTGACTGGCACCCTTCTTCACTGTGGAATGAGAAGGGAAACAAGAGAAGGGTAAAGAAATAACTCCAACTTATGGCTCTTTAACTTCTACAACTACTACCCTGAGGTTGGTCAAGCCAATGTTTGTCCAGGATAGGGGTCCTCTATATGCCTAGTTCCTTTCTGGGAAGCTTGAAGCCCACTTTATCCTGGACAAGGTTGAATGGCACTATTATTTGCTCACTAAAAGAAGGTTACAGAGCAAGTTAAAAATGAGGGGCCCTGGGAAATAAGGAGACTTTGGAGAAAAAGAAAAAACAAACGAAAGTCCAGCCAACAAAAGATTCTCCAAGGATAGTTTCTATATTTTACTCCTCCTGGGTCCTACTACCTTGGATCTCACTTTTCTTGAAAGTTTTATAGCATTGTTGAGAAGTTTCTTAAAGAGTAAGCATTTTTCTCTTTTTACACTCCCCAACAGCCAAACACACTTTGTCACCATATTAGGTAGGGAACAAAACAAATATTTCTGAGACCTGGAAGTTCAGATGGATGTGGAAGGGTGGCTTTTTTGAGAGTCCAAGATTCCTGCCCCCATTCTGACAGTGTTGAGTATCCTATGAGATCTGAAGACCTCTCTGTTGAGTCATATACCAATGCCCTACCTCAGTGCAGCTCATGACTGTTCCAACCTTGCTGAGAGGTGGGGAACCTGTCACCTTGCCTTCCTCCCACAGTCAAGGAAAACTGACTGGGTCACACAGGGCAGCACTTGTGGATGGGAAAGACTCCCTATTTGAGCCTGTGGTAGTAGTGACAGAGAGCAGAGTAAAGCCAGGCTCTGGGTGGGGGTGGCAGGGCAAAGAATGGTGCAGGTTAAGATAACAAATGGCAGAATATAGTAGCAATGATCTGAATATTCTCTACTGGAGAATTGGAAAACAGAGAGGCTCCAGCAAGGGAAGAAGGTCATCCTTGCCCCAGGAACATGGCCAAACCTTACTCTCATGAGAAATGGGATAGCATGGAGAAAAACCAGATTAGAGCAGAGGAGCCATCTTTCTAAGTACAGCCACCATTGGCACCATGCAGTGTAGACCCACATAGCTTTGGGACTGGCCACTGAGGTTCTGAGTGGGAGATCAGAAATGAATTGTCCAAGCCCCTGATGGAATCTAATGGAGGGAGAAGGCCCACCCAGGAGGAAGCAGGAAGCCAACATCAGGACTCCCTAGCCCTCACCCTATTCACAGTGCCTGGTGAATATCTTCTGACCGTAGCACTTTATAGACAACCCAGTAGAAGATGTTGAAGATGAGGAAAGTGAAAGGGAAGACAGCCCGGGAGATGGTGTCAATCCTCTTGGCTTGGTCCACGTAGAGTTTCCGCATGGTTTCTCCTTCCTTTAGAAGAGGGGCTGGAGGTTGGGGGGTATAAATGCCAGAACCTTCCATTGGACCTCCATCCCTTGCCTGCAGGCAGTGGCCCAGGCCATAGCCATGGAAATAGAAGCGACTTTCTTGGATGATACCTTCCTCCTGAAATTAAATGGAAAAAAAGACAGAATTTGAGGTTACAGCTCTATCTAAGGATAGAGACCAGGCCACACACATATATCTCATAGGTGATGCTATGCAGACTGGTGGTTAGGTACACAGGCCCACTGCATGCTTTTTTATGGCCACAGAACTATTCATTCGATAGATGTATGCTAAGCAGCTATACATGGTACATATAGTATATATTATGATTTCATTTGCAGATAAGCCCCGGGCTGCCTTTTTAAAATGCATAACATCATTTACAGCCATCTAAAACCCAGTGAAGTGCCAACCCACTGTCAGAAAGATATCTCAATTCAAGTTATCTCTGACTGGTAACCAACAGAGTAAACAGAACAATAAAACCTTTAGAATGCACAGCTTAGTTATTTAGACTTGGTGAACTTGACTTTAATGACTTTCAAAAGCTGCAGAATTAATTCTCCTTGTATACAGTATCTTTTAAAAAATTGTTTATCTCAACTCAAAGCTGAAAATTACAGAAGTTTTAAATAACCTAGTGGGTCATCCAAATTAGGGTAAAGCTGATTAATCTATTGCAAATACATGTGCTTCTCTGCAAATTAGCAGATTTTGACAAAGGGGTCAGTACATCTAAGGTAACATTTATTACCCAATACACATTCCATTTATGTACAATATATGCATTATAATGAACACATTCACACTGAGGAAGTAAATTTTATATCAGCATTAAGAAATGTAGCAGACTACACAAAGTTCATTTATCCAGTAGTCAGCTGACAACCTTAAGTAGCTATAACAGCTGGAGAGCCAGGAAGTAAGAACAGAAAGACAGAGACAGAGATAGAAATAGAGGGAACGGGAGACATAGAAATAAAGAGAGGAAAAAAAGGATCAAAGCCCCTGAGTGATCAATAGAGAGAGCTTTACTCATATGAGAGCCTTCAGGCCCCCACTCAGAGCCTATTTACTCTTAGTTTATATACAAACCAGACATGCCTAATTTTGTCTACTTCTAAAGCACACATTGCCATCAGAAGTGATGGTTCACAGCCTGGAAATTAGACATAGGACAGGTAAATATATACCAGAACCTAAAAATACTTCATTCAAAGATGGTTACAATTTTTGAAAGTGTTGATGTTTACAGTAGTAAAAGCTTCAGCTAGCTAAGAAATCACCTGAAGTGAAATGCCGCCTTGTGGGATGATACCAACTACCTTCCTGATTTGCCCAGGACTGAGTGCTTCCTGAGACTCAGGATATTCAGCGCTAAAACAGAATGGTATACATGTATATTGAATAGATATGCCATAGATACACATAAAATGTGGATAAAGTAGGTTTTACACACATTGTGCAGTTAGAAGGACATCATAGGGTCTTTATAATGGGACCTCTGCAACGATGGTAACACACTGAAAAGTGACTTCGTAGGTGAGATATTGATGTTGGTGGGTCCCAGTAGCCCTTGATTATTACATCGCTAGAAGGTTGAGCCTGTCACTAGGCATCAGGGGGCAGGCAAGCTCAGGCCACAGATTCACCAACAGATCCCATCTCTTTCTCTGCTTCCTGTGGGCTCATAGGACAAACCTGGGAAAGGGCATTGGTCTTGTTCACTGCCATGTCCCCAGCACAGTGCCTGGCATCTAGTAGGCACCCAGTAGATATCAGTTGAATGAATGAATGGACTGATGAGCCACATGCTTCAGAATATAGGACAGGGAATGGCTTTGTTCTCATGAAGCCAGCATCCTTTCAGGGTCTCAAACTGAAGAGTCTACTCAGAAGAGAGTCTTACTCAGTTACAAAGTGCTTGGCGGGAAAAACGATCACTCCTTGCCCCACCCCTGCACAATGGCCTGATGCCCGTTAGCCTCTAGAAAAAGTGGCACTTTTGGCATAGGAAAGAATCTAAGTCAGCCAACCAGAGAGCTTTGCTACCCGATCTTTAATTTTGCCAATCTCTGTGGAGACAGTTGTATGTGTGTAGATCAGAGGCAATTCACTACTGTGGTTGTGCTTTGACCCTGAGTTGTGGTTGGGGCAGCCTTAGCTCTCTGCTCAAAATTACTTCCATAATCTGTCACCAGAGGCCTTGGCTCATCTCACCTGGTTTTTCTAGTTCATTTTCACACTTTTCCTACATAGTTTGTGCTGGACCCATTTTAGAAATGAAGAACCAGAGGTAAACAAGATATCTTCCAAGTAATTGAAAAATGAGGGATTAGGGGCACCTGGGTGGCTCAGTTGGTTAAGCGTCTGCTTTCAGCTCAGGTCATGATCTCAGGGTCCTGGGATGGAGCCCTGTCGGACTCCCTGCTCGGTGGGGAGCCTGCTTCTCCCTCTCCCTCTGCCATTCCCCCTGCTTGTGTTTTCTCTCTCTGTCAAATAAATAAATAAAATATTTAAAAAAAAGAAAAATGAGGGAGTAAATAAAATGATTTCCTCTTTTGTTTTCCATTTCAGGGTCCCTCACACCCCCAGTTCCCCACTGCTCATTCTGATCTCCTCAGCCCCTCAGCTAGAGGATAAAAGTGTGGAATATATTTGTTTGCAAAAGGCTCTGAAAGAGAAAGTTGAATCCAACTGCTGTTTCTGTTTCTATAGATTTAATTACTTTTCCTTTTCTCCAATCATAGTAAATCTAAAGGGAATTATTTAGAAATATTTCCCAGGCTGAAAAAAAGCTATCTCACATGGGAGAAAAAATGTGACCACTAGAGTAAGCTGCCCTTGGCTTTTTTTTTTAATTTTAACATATTGTACCATTTGCAGTTGGGAGAGCAAAGACAAGTGGCCTGAAACCCAAGGGTGGGGGTTCTGGATATGAGTATTATCTATTTAAGCCAAATTCTGAGGGGTGTGTGTGTGTGTGTGTGTTTGTTGGGGAGAGACAATGGAGACTTAAACACCACTTTGTGGCTTCCATGGCTGTTGAAATAGAATATTTTTGTTGCAGCTATGTATAGGGAGGAGGGCTGGGGAACTAGAGAGTAAAGATAGTCCAAAGCCAAGTTGGGGAAGGAATGCACAGTGTGGGAGGTAAGGTGTGGAGATGGGAAAGGGTGATAGGTATTCAGTGATATGTATTGAAGTGAATAAAAAGAACAGATTGAAGAATGGGGGGTGCTGGGGGGATGGAGAGAGGCAAGCAGGGTTCTGGGACCAAACCCCTGAGAGGACTCGGCAGTATTTTGAAATTTCTTCCATTTTTCAAGTTATTCTGTTGATAATGGCAAGGCTTCCTCTCTGTCCAGCTTGAAAGAGAGCCTTCGCCAATGAGCCTACAAAGATTGGTGGAGTAGGTAATGTGGCTGCTATGTTCAGAGCCTGATGCAAAGGCCTGCTGAGGTTATAAAAAAAAGAGAGACCCCTCCCTGTGAAGCATATAGGCTAGCTGGGAAGACAAAGCAGATATATATGGAAAAGAAATTAAACTACTTTAGACAGTGACATGGAGGGAAACCACCATGCGGTGGAGATGGGTGGTTGAGGAGAGATTAGAGAAGAACATGATTAAACCTGGAGCTGGGTGAATAGCTGGCTGGCTCCTAAAATACTCCTAATTTGCTCTTGGCTAAAGGCTCCCTGAAAATCATATGGATGTTCTCCCCTTCCCTAAGAGGCTCTTCTCAGACCAAAGACTTGCTTTTCTAGCTGGAATGGCAGGGCGCAGAGAGAGGTTCTAGAAATAGATGAACTCTGCATCAACTTTTCCAGCTTGCTCAGTGACCTCCAGGACTCCTGCTCCAGTTCCACTGGGATGGAAATGGCTTTAAAGAAACTCGAAAAGGGACATGGGCTAATGGCACAGGTTTTGATTTTCAGGTTGTATTTACGTTAATAATAAGCCCAGCCCACTTTTTGGCAGGATCCAAGAGCTTAAGCAGGGCCTAGGCCGCTGCTACAACTTTGCAATAATTGAGCACTGCTTATGACAGACTCCATTATGATATCAGGATCAGCTTATTTATATATGACCAGGAGGGGATGAACTGTAGGCAGTTGGGGGTTGGAGAGGTGCGGGGAGGGGGCGAGACTAGTGTCAACCTGGAGTAGCTCTACAGTAACTGCAGCAGCCTGCTGTTGCTGGAACACCCACACAGGCAATTTAGCTGGCAAAGGGACACTGGAGACTGGTTGGCAGCCTGCTCTTCTTTTTCAAGGTAGGCATTGAGAAGGCATCAAGATCAGAACCCCTATCAAGAGAAGATTTTGGTACCTGCAGGCAGGTTTAACACAGCTAAAGAGGGGGTGGAGAGTTAGCTTAGAAAAGGGAGCATTCTCTTTTCTTTCCCTTCTGTCAAGTCTGTGTATATTTTTTGTAACCCTCAGCATGGGATAAGAAAGCCTTTATTTAATAGGCTCTTGAAGGAGTCCTACTCAAGGAGATGCCATTGTGGATCAATCCACTAGAGGGCGTGTTTCACAGAGCCTGACTAAGGTCCAGGCAAGAATTGATATATTCCGATAAACCAATAGATGAGACAGGAGCCCTGCTCTCACCAGAAAGGCATCTTAGCCAGGGACATGAGTTCCCGGAGGTAGTTTTAAAGATATTTTTAGTGTGGACATATGGTTGGGGCACCCCAGGAACAGCTGAGGTGGGAGGTGTGTGTTAGGAAGAGAGAAAAGTTTTAGTGCTAGAGTGGCCCCAGCTGGAGCCAGCAGGGTCAGATCATCATTTTCTCTACCTCCCAGAAGTCATAGTGCATCTCCTCTGGCTTGACAGCCTCCAGGTTGGGCAGAAAACAAGGAGTCAGAGCTCAAGGTAGACCAGAACTGTGTCTGATGATTAAGGGGCCAGTATGTAGCTCAGCAAAGGCTTTTGACTTTGCTTATAATTGGGCACTTGCTTCTAGGTGAGTGGCCCAGGCACCTCTGTTGTCATGACAACATACCTAGCACCCATTGTCTGGGTAATGGGGAGGGGCCAACTGCCTGTTGTTCAGGGCATCAAGCTCTCTATTTCCCCAGGTGATCATTCTACTGTAGAAGAAATGGGGTTAACAAACAAGAGTGAGGGAGAACAACAACTCACACCCAACAACTCTGATACACCCAACAACTCTGATGTGCCCAATGAAGAACAAGGCGAAGAAATCCAACGGCCAGAAGAGGCAAGTAGTGGTTTTCCAATTCCAGCTTAACTGTAGGGACCCTTTTACAATGCTCCCCTAGAAAGGTCCCCGTGCCTGACTCTTGAATTCTTAACCACCAATCAGTGTATGGCAACCTGGGGTATCTTCCTCCTGGGTAAGGGGAGAGCCAGGAACAACCATTACTAATTCTCAAAATAATCTCATATTGACTAACTTGATAAGGCTCTAATGTGAGCTAACCTTTTTTTCAGTGCTTACTATGTGCCGGGCACTGTGCCCATGCTCTCTCTCTTTTTAAAAGTCTATTTATTTATTTTTAAGTAATCCCTACACCCAACATGGGGCTCAAACTCATGACCCTGAGATCAAGAGTCGAATACTCTTCTGACTGAGCCAGCCAGGGCCTCTGTTTGTCCATGCTCTTAATCACTTTACCAGACTGCCCTACAGGGATTAATGTCCCATTGGACAGATAAAGAAATGGAATCGAAGAGGTTAAAGTACTTAGTTTATCTATGACCAACCTAGGACTAGAATCCAGGGTTCCTGATTGCCTTTTTAGTCCTTGTAGCCCTATATAGAGTCTTGGTTTGTGGGAGGAGTAATAGGGAGGAAGGAGTCCAAAGGAGAAAGGAAGTGGGCCCCTCCCTAGTTATATTTACCATGCGTTGGCGCCTCTGCCTTCTTCGAAGTCGTATGAATTCCTTATGCTGACGAGAGACAAAATTGACAGCAGCGTACTCCAGTAGTGCAGCAAACACGAAGAGCAGGCACACAGCCATCCAGATGTCGATTGCCTTCATGTAGGACACCTGTAACATCCACCAACAGAGCAATCAACCTTCTTGGAGCCCTTCCATGGCCCATCCAGTGGTTCGCCAGCCCATACCAACTGCCTGCTATTCTTCAGTTTCATCCTGAATTTCTTCTGGTGTTCAAAGAAGCTTTCCACGATATGTCCCATTGCCTGAGGGCCCATGTCAAAGAGATTGGGCTACCCATCATCCTTCACCTCTCTGCACTCTCCACCCTCCACTTCTATCTGCCTTTCCTCCCTATACTTCTTTTCCTTTCTTTCTTTGTTCTTTTCATACTTCTGTCCCTGCTTCTGCTTCTTATTTTTCTTTTCATTCTTTTCTTCTTCTGATTCTCTTCTTTCAATAAACAGCAACGAACATGAACACTGCATTTGTTTGCCTTCTGTTATCTCCTAGGGTCCTCACAGCTCTGATGGAAATTGGGCGGGGTTTGTTATTCCCATGTGAAACATGTGAGGACACTTGAAGCCTATAGAGGAAAAGTCTTAGCCGAGATTACCCAGTGAGGAGGTGGCACTAGGATTTGGGGGCTCTGGGCTTTCAATTTAGTGGCACTGACATTCACCTAGGCTGCAGTCTCAGTATCAGACTAGGAATTCCTTCCTTTCCCTCCTCCACCCCCATTATTCTCTTGACTGTGGCTTTTCCTGCTGATCTTTATGAGAGGCCCTGCTGAAGAATTGAACTCAGTGGCCCAAGGGAGTGCCATCCAACCCCCGGCTATGGACACTTCTCTAATTTCAAGGCACTGTTAGCATCTACCTATCTGGTTCTTAGGGCTCTCCTCCCACTACCTGCCTTGGAAGCCTTTAAATACTTTTCTCTCCCATTTCCCTCATGAAGATTGAACACCTACCTCTCCTAGAATGGGGCTTCAGCTGGATGGGGCTGGGAGAGGTACAGAACTTAGATTTATGAAGTCCTTTCACCTCCTCAGCCAGATGGACTCCCTATATAGTTTTGAGCTGCTGAGCCCACCTCATAGGGCTCCCCAGTAGGAGTTGGTTTCATGACAGACAACCTCTTTCACCAGCTATGTTGGGCAGTGAGGGTGCTCCAGGCTCCAGGTAAGGAGCAGGTCTCACTGGATAACACTTCCACCTTAGTGGTTCTTAACCTGCAATGCCCCCCTACTCCGCCTCCTCGCCTGAGTGGCATTTGGCAATGTTTGGAAACATCTTTGGTTGCACAATTTGGGGAAGGGTTACTACTGGCATCTAGTGGATGGAGGCCAGGGACAATGCTAAACATCCTATAATGCACAGGACTCCCCCCTGACACACACACACACACACACACATACACATACATACACACAACAATTATAAGGTCTAAAATGGCAATAGTGCTAAGGATGAGAAAACCTGCTCTATCTCCTTTAAGGCAGTTCCGCTAAGGTGGTAGTGGTGGGTTGCTAGGCACCCCTGATTAAGTATCCCTTGGTGTTTCCACTTTGCCACCTATTAAGAGGGCAACCTATTTCATTCATCATCTCCCAGTCTCACTGTGTTGAGTAAGTGCTATGAAAATCCATAATGAGGTAATGACAAGGGAGGTCCACAAAGGGCTTTGGACCATCAAAAGAAAAGGACACCTGAAGCAGTAGAAATAAAATCTTATTAGTAATGAGTGTGTCAATAATGGAGTTGTATGGGGAGTGAAATTGCTGTACCTTTCAGAAGCCTCTGAATTTGTCCCATCTCTTTCCTTAGGGCTCCCACTAAATCTAATGTACAAACTCAAGGGAGCAGAAGCTCCCTGACTTACTCAGTCCCTTGCTTTGTGGGCTGGCCAACGAGTCTATTTAGTTTGGGGTGAATGCCTACGTATTTTGCTTACTGGCCAATGAGGCCACAAAAAGGTCATCAAAATCTGATGAGAAGGCACCAAATACTGCAAACAAACAACCCTCCAACAAAGTCCATTTTTTTCCGAATGAGGAAACTAAGTGAGTCCTAGGAGCAGACAGATTGTGCTTGTTCACAGGAGGGGACTGGAAAAGGAAGTTCTCTTGGCAAGAATAAGGCACTAATTGCAACCTCCCCGGGTTAGAGAAGAATCTCCTTCTTGCGTGGCAGCTGCAATAAACTAGGACACATTTCTAAGATCTGAACTACTTTTCTGCCTCTAGTCTTCCTACAAGGCTACTACCACACCACGGCCATCACAGCCCCTCCTGGTCCTTTGGTCCTTGCCTAAGCCCCATCTGTCTTTCAGAGCCTCTTCAATAACCCTGTCCATTTAGGAAACACATTTATAAGAAATACTTTCTGACAACTTCCTCTGAGACACCTGATCCTAATCTGAGCTTTGTCATTGTTTATTACTAGAGGCTTTGGATTACCTCAAAATTTTCCCAGCAACTCAAAAATAATTGGGAACTTCACTGGCTGCTCTAGCCCTAGGTCCACCACTCCATTCTTTTCACCCAAACACCTAACAATTATAACAATAACGAACATTTATTGAGTGGTTATTAGGTGCTAAACACTGTTGTCTGTGTTAATACAATATCTTATTTATTTCTTGCAATAACCCTATGGAAGAGATAATATTCTTATTCCCATGTCACAGGTAAAAAGACTGAGACATTAAGGAATTTACTTAAGATTGCCATTGGTAAATGTTGAGGCTGGGACTTAAACCAAAATCTGCTTGACTCCAATCTCCTACTCTTAACCACTACACCACCCCCGTGGCAAATTTGTAAATTCACCATGGATGCCCAGATTACCCCCTGTTTAAGTCCCCCGTAAATACCTTCTTAGGAATAAGCACTGGGAGATGGGAGATCACAGGGCCTGGTTCCCATCAAATCAAAATGAGAGGGCATATGTTCACAGTAAGATCCACAAGGAACTATGTTGTTTTTGCTTCCCATTATTTCTCCATGGCCTAGAACAGTGCCTGGTACATAGTACATGCTCAATAAATATTTATTGAATGAATGAATAAGCTTACTCCCTGATTTCTCAGAGCCTTGCTGAGTGTAAGGACATTGACGTGACCCCTAAATTTCCTACATGAAGGCACAAAGCAGGAAGAACCTGGGCCCAGTCTCATAAGCACAAATCTCTCTGTGGCCACAGATGTTCAGAGTCCACTGACTTTAACTGCTATTTGCTACCTCAAAATTTCCCCACCCTAAAAGAATGGACATTATCTCTAGAGGTCTTTGTAATCGTGTCCAGCTTCTGACATAGTAAGAGACAGATGTTGGTTTAAAATCCTTATATATATATTTTTTTCTTATGGGGCATGACCTTGAAAAGGTCGTTCTATCTCTCTGGGCTGTATTTACCTCATCTGTACCATGAGGGAGTGGGACTCTCTACTTGCTAAGGGTCTTTTGATTTTGGACATGCTAGTATTTCCTGATGAAATTCAGAGTTAGTCAGGCACTGTCTCTACTCATTTCTTAGCCAGACAACACCCACAACCCCAGCTTCCACATCTTTAGCAATATCATTAGCCGTATGTTGTAGGGGAAGAGAAAACTCTGGCCACCTGTTCTTGCTCAATGGCTCTCGTCTACCTTAAATCTAAGGCAAATAGTGAGCAGAAGAGAACAGGGGATGAAAGGGAAATGGGGAGCTCTATGGCAAGCAAGTTCCCTTGCATCTTTCTTCACCTTAGGCAAAGAGGCCCGGGAGCCAGAGCTCTGAGTGGTCATGGTGAGCACAGTGGTGATGCCTAGGCCCACACGGGCAGGGGCGGCATCCATGTTGATCCAGAAGGAGACCCAGGACAGGATGACGATGAGTAGGCTGGGGATGTACATCTGAATCAGATAGTAGCCCATCTGCCGCTCCAGGTGAAACTTTACCTCAATGCAGGTGAATTTCCCTGCAAGGAAAGAGGTGATGTATCAGACCTCAGGTCCCCAGCCTGGAGCTGAGCCTGAGGGGCAGGACTAGGGCATCCCATAGGGTTGCATCCCATAGCAAATAAATGAGCTTTCCAAGATGGCCCCACGGAGCACCAGATGCATGTTCTGAGGAAGTTCTCAGAGCAGCCATCAGACTTGACCTCTTGCTCTAAGCACTAGTTTCCAGCAGAGGGCCTTCCATTTGACCACACGGCAAGAGGATTAAGAACAGAAGGGCTCCAGAGCCAGACTGCCTGGGTTTGAATCCCGAACCTTCCACTCACTAGCTGTGTGACCTCAGGCAAAACACCCAAGCTATTTGAGCTTCAGTTTCCTTGTCTGTAAAATGGAGTAACAACAATATCAATTCCATCATGTAGGAATTAAATTAAATAATGTATCTGGGGAGTTGAGCTCTAGGTCGTTGGCACTATCATCATTATTAACAAAGCAATGAGTTTAGACCCTGCCCAAATCTCAGCAGCCTTGCTTGAGCTTGCTGGTACCCCAGAAGCTCTCTAGCAACAATGATTCACTGAAATAAACATTGCCTGTGTCTCAAGCAAGTGATAAGAGCTGGATAGGAAATATCTGGAAACAGTGTCCAACAGAGACCAGCTCTGGACAGTGGGCAGTGGGTACCCAGAGAACATCAGGCAGCAGCATTCTATCCCGCCAACAAAAAGTACATTGGTCCAAAGCACATGTACCTGTGCTCTGTCTACTCTGCCAGCCATCTTCATTCTGCCCAGCTTCCCATGCCCTCAGGCTAAGAAAACCTAGCTCAGAGCTTCTCCCCATGGCAGAGGTATAGGATAACCAAAGCAAAAAGCAGAGGATGTGTATATTGCTATTTTATTCTGGACTAGGCTTGCTCTTATCAGACCTGATTCCTCAAGGCTAGTAATTTCATCAATGATTGATTATGGCTTTGACATACTGTGTGATGCTGTGATCTCCTACCGTTCCCTGAGTCCACCTCACCCCAGGCTTCTTGTTATGACATAGCTTTGCTAGGTATCCATATTTTCTTTGCTTCCTTCCTTCCCTCATTTTCTATCTATCTATCTATCTACCTATCATCTATCTATCTATCTATCTATCTATCTATCTATCTATCTATCTATCATCTATCTATCTATCATCTTTCTATCTATCTATATCTATTTTTGGTAGTGGTGGTTTTATTTTAATTGCAAAATTAACACTTGTTTAGTACAGGAAAAAAGTGAGAAGTAGAGAAAAATAATAATATTTATAAGCTCAGTAATATTTGTAAGCTCACATTTATCAAGCCCCTACTAAGTGCCCTGACTTTATATAGTTTATCTCATTTAAATTCCATAGCAACTATTTGGGGCAGGTAAAATTATTATTTCCCATTTTACATAGGGATACTGAGGCTCAAAGAGATTAACTTATGTTTCTCAAGGGCACCCAACGAGTAGATAATGGAGCCATAATTCAAACTCAGCTCTGACTCGAAAGTTCTTGGTTTTATCCATTGTATCACTCTACGTTAGAAACATTTAGTACTATTTCTTCCCAGGATTTTTAAACACACGCTTTTGGTTTGTTTCTTTTACCACAATATAATGATCCTGCGTATACAACTTTGAATCTTAGCCTTTTCCACTTGTACTTTCCATGTTGATATAAGCAACTTGCAGGCATCCTTTTTAACATCTGGATAATATTCCACCAAACAGATACACTGTGTAATTTATTTAACCTCTGTCCTATTGGTGGATATCTAGAAGAGTGCCAAGTTTTTGCTAGTATAAGCACTGACCCAGTGATATTTGGAATATTTCCTTATAATAAATTCCAAGGAGTGGGATTCCTGGATCAACATGTAGGGGAAAAGAATTTTAGCTTTTACAGTTTCTCAGAGTATGCCCCCTGGACCATCTGCTACTGAATCCTCAGGATGCTTGTTCAAATGCAGATTTCTGGGCATCACTCCAAGTGCACATAATCAGAATCTCTGAGAGGCAGTGCCCAGGAATCAACATTTTAACAGGCTCCCCAGGGGAATATAATGCACACGAGAGTTTGAAAACCACTGACCTATATACAAATTGCTAGTTTTCTCCCCAGTAAAGGTTCTACCAATTTCCACTCCCACCAGCATTTTCTAAATTCAGTGGCTTGTTCCTCTCCCTATTTTGCACACCCTACATACACAAACACACATATTCACAGGGTGGCACCCAAAGCATGTCAGCCCACCATAGGAGGTATCCAGGATCTCTCCTCTTTAGCCTCTGGCCTCTATATCAGGGTCATAGCACTTTGTATCCAAATTGCCAGGGGAACTAAGGAACAAGTAGCTCCCAGGGAAGCTGCAGGGAGCAGATGCTCAGGCTGGAAAAGCAACCTTTCTCCACTTCCTGGCCCACATTTCACACCTGGGAAAATAAGCCAGTTCAAGAGTTGGGCAGTGGTGGCTGTGGGATGAGGTGTGGATGGTAAGCCTGCCAGTTCCTTAAAGTCTAGTGCTTTCTGGTTCAGCGCAGCCATTGGCTGCTCCCAGATGTAGATTCCCCACCTTCCACACAAAGTTGGCCCCAGAACAGGTGGGACACTCCTGCCACTCACTGGCACAGGCACATCTCCTCTGCAGCATGTGACAGGGACAAAAATACGGGCTTTGGAGTTAGATCTGGATTTGAATTCTAAGTCAGCCATTTTCTAGGTGTGTGACTTGGACAATTGATTTAAAATGGGGCTGATGATTTCTTACCATAATGAGATAAGGCATATGAAACAGCACATCTGGTACAGATCGGACTTTCAATAAAAGCTGGCTGCCTTGCCCCCTTCCCTCCCATCTGGAGGCCCTTCTGTGACTCACAGTCAGTAAAGATCCTGGTTTTTACCTGTGTTGTAGTGCTTGGTACAGTAGCCTAGATCCTTCTCATCTCGCAAGATAAACTGGGGCAGAGTCAGCCCCTCAGCCACTTGGACAGCAGGAGCATCTTCCAGCCACTCAAACACGAGGTCATTCATGGTGTAGCCAACTAAAAGTGACAGAGATGGCAGAGGGCTGCAGAGTGTGGTGCTGGGTGAGGGTAGGGAGAGAGTTAGAACTAGCAGGAAAGAACAGATGAGGAGGTAAGGCCTGGGTTTTAGGAGCTTCGTGTTCATCTTGGAAAGGGAAACCTTTCTGAAGAGGGTACTTGGTCAATTGTCTCATGGACCCATCCTCACTAGGTAAATCAGAAAGATTCCAAACTCCTCTTCTACCTAGTTCTCAAGCTTTAGAAAGGCACAGAGAGAAATTATTCTAGCAGACCTAGAAAGCAGGTCAAAAGGAGTGGAATGATATCAAGGAACCCAGCTGGGAACCTCCCGCCATATCTTAAACCCAGGGGAGTAACCATGTGTACTGGCCACATGTCTTGAGCTGAGCCAGCCTCAGAGCTAGGGCTTCTGCCACCTCACCCCAGGGAGAAAAGAGCTATTTATACCCTGCCAGTCATGCATGGGACAATGTACACACCATAAACTCCTAGCCAGGGCTCTGAACTGGGGCAGATTGAGAGTTAATATCTGAACATGACAAGTTGCTCACAGATAGTTAGCAGTTTGCGAAAACTCCTGCCATATATATGACCATATTCACACATGTCAAGTACAAATGGGAGAAGAATCACTGAGGCTCACAGATGTCCAATGTAAGACCTTGACTCAAAGTAGCTATGTGACTTTGGGCAAGTAATTTCCCTTTCTGTAAAATGCTCCACCTACTTTTCAGAGTTGTTGTGAGGGGGTAATAAGAACCTGGATGTGAAAGTGGTTTATGAACTCTAAAGAGCTGACCACATAGGACACATTCTATCCATCACCGTTATTATATGCTGGAAACAGCCTGACAAACCTTCTTCTCTGAGGATTAACTTGGTGTGTATTGATCTCACAGTCTCACCTTGCCCAGGAGATGGCAAAGGAGTGCACATAGGTGATGGTCCAGCCTTGTTGTCCTTTGACTTTTCTGCAATTGGGGTAGCCCCTATAAGCTGGCACCCCTGTCACAGAGGTCAAACCCAGGGGAATAAGCATGTGTACCGGCCACATGTCTTGAGCTGAGCCAACCTCAGAGCTAGGGCTTCTGCCACCTCACCCCAGGGAGAAAAGAGCTATTTATACTCTGCCAGTCATACATGGGACAATGTACACACCACAAACTCTTAGCCAGGGCTCTGAACTGGGGCAGATTGAGAGTTAATATCTGAACATGCCAAGTTGCTCACAGATAGTTAGCCCTTGGCTGACCTTGCCACCCTGGGCGCTGTCCTATACTAGAACGGTCTTCTCCCACTTCTCTACAAAAGTTATCTGTGTTCATGCAGAATCAGGGTTCAAGAGTACTCCCTCTGCCAACTCTGGCATTTTTATAGGTATCTTGAATGTCTTAACTCAGGTGGAGTAAAGGTAGAATTACCTCAGGCTCTGTGAGAAGAATATCTTTGGGCAGAGGAGGTGTCCTTCAAATGCTCCCCCCACCAAAACCAACACAAGCACATTTGTATGTAAAGCTGGTGCCTTCCCATTCCTCAGCCCTGTGGAAGAGCCAAACCAGTAAATAGTGTGAGGAAGGAAAAACACACTGGGTTGGGTGTTAGTGAGTCCTGGCTCTTAGTCTCATCTGTGCCAACAACTGATAGTGTGTGTTTGGGTAAGTCCCCACTCTGGGTTGCCTTTTTCTCATTTGGAATATCATGGGAGGGGGTTAACTACCTGGTATTCCAGGCCTTGTTCTGTGACTCTCTAGAGACACTTACAGCTCTCCAGCTGCATGGTGCATGTCTGGATGTCCATGGGGAAGTTCTTGAGGTCCATTGGGCAGGACAAAATGAGGGTCAGCCTGGCAGGGACAGTAGAAAGAAGTGACATCAACTTACTGGGGCCTGGAACAGCACAGAGGACCCTCTTCCCACCCCTCAGCCTCCATTCTGGCTTCTTCCCCTTGACCCAAAGTCTCCTGGCTGTTCGCCAGGTGCACCTGATGCTGTAGAGCACATTCCCGTTCTTGAAGATGCGCAGTAACTTGTTGTCTGTGGTCACCTCATGGAAGTTGGCCCCTTTCTCATTGGCAAAGAACAGGTCTGGCTTCCAGATAGAATCCAGCATAGAGGGATCAAGGTCCAAAGAGTCATCAGGATATTCTCGGTAAGCTAGGCGCGGGTCATTCCACTGTTGCCGCAAGAAGACATTCACCCGATAGTCCTGAGAGGGTGCACACATGGGCCCATCAGAGGCAATGCTATTCCAGGGGCCCAGCAAGCTTACATGGGCAGGAGGGCCATGAGGAGGAAATGCTGGGAGCACATCTCAGGGGCATTGGGCATTTTCCACTGGAGAAGGAGCCTGCTTTGGGCTGATATGGCAAAGATGGGAAGGGAAAAAACATTTATTAACCACTTACTATTAGCTGGGCGCTCTGCTAAGTGCTTTCTTTATATGCATCGTCTCATTTAAATCTCACACCAACACTGTGAGGAGGGTACTGTTATGATTCCCACTTTATAGATGAGGAAATGGAAACAAGGAGATATTTAAATAACCTGTCATGTAGCTATTAGATGATAGAGTCAGGATTTGAACACAGGTTTGTCTGATTCCGAAGTCTGTGCTCTGTACCAAGCTACCTCCCATGCTTGACCATTTGTTCCTTAGGCTAGTCTGCCTTTGGCCACTGAAACCCAGGCTGGGGAAAGATATCTCCCAGTGACCAACTTCAGACATCCTATGGCTTTAGTCATGACCACAAGACAGGGAGAGGACAGCACAGGGAGGAAAGGCTCAATATCTGGTGGGCTTCTCTCATTCATACTATAATGGAAGCAGGGAACAGGGAGACTCCTTACCATAGTAGTCTTGGTGACAGAGCCAAAACTGTTGATGAAGATGTTACAAGTCACGTTCACAGGTGGGCCTAGGGGTGGCAAAATACAACCATATTGGCAGGGCATTCCAGGAGGCTGGGCGCAGTTTCCAGGACTTCCTCCCTGTGCTTGAGGCCAGGGCACTGCTAGAAGGCAGTGCCAGCTACATAGACCCATAAGCAATAGGGAGGGGAAGCTCCTTCTGAACTGTAAGAGTTAGCCCTGTACCTCCAGCCTCCTGTCAATGGGGTAGGCAATTCCCAAATTGCCAAAGCCAACTTCCCAAAAGGAGTGGGGAAGAAAGGGTTTTTGTAGGATGAATGCTTCTTACCTTTAAAATTGGGTCGAATCCTAGCATCATACCCAGATGTTTGCCCCATAAGCTTATCCAGGAAATCAGAGGGGGACATGGGCTGGGACCCCTCGGTCCCAGATTTGACTTCCTCTATTGCCAAGGCCACCCTGGACAGGAGAGATAAAGAAGTCTGAAGCCAGTTGTATTCTACATTTATCACAGACCCTCTCCTTTCCTGTCCCCACACACCTCTGGCTGGTCTCCCCATCAGGCAGGAAGATAGGAGAAGATGGATCTCTGGGTACCCATTTGCAAAACTAGGAAAACAGAAACAGCCATAAGCCAACACTGCAGCTCAGTTGTTAGTCCTAAAAATGTGCTTTCACATATATGAGATCTTTTTTACCCTCAAAATTCTCAGTGTGATGGGGGCAAAGACAGATGAGAAAAATGACTTGTGGGATTGTAAATTGGAACAGCCACTCTAGAAAATAGTATGGAGTTTCCTCAAAAAAATAAAACTAAAACTACCATATAATCCAGAAATTCCACTTCTGAGAATATATCCAAGGAAAATTAAAACACTAATTTGAAAAGATATATGCACCCCCATGCTTATTGCAACATTATTTATAATAGCCAAGATAAGAAAACAATCTAAGTGTCCTTCAATGGATAAATGGATAAAGAAAATGTGAGATACAATATAGATATAGATACACACACATACATATACACAATGGAATACTATTCAGCCAGGAAAAGAAGGAAATCCTGGCATTTGCAACGACATGGATCTTGAGGGCATTATGCTACGTGCAATAAGTCAGACAAAGACAGACAAATACCGTGTGATCTCACTGATATGTGAAATCTAATAAACAAACAATCCCAAAGAGGAGTGACCTTCCCAAAGTCTCAAGGCTGGTGAGTGACAGGATCAGGGATCAAACCCAAGGGGCTGAGGCCTCATCCAGTATTCTCTTTCTGAAGGTGCTTTAAAAGCACTCAAAGAAGAATGACAACTCCCTGCAAATAATGTGGCTGTTTCAATGTTTTGGCTTAACCAAGGATGGGAAGGACTCAAGGACAATCTGCATCTCTGAGAGCTGGTTTCAGTTGCTTGGCCTTCATGCGGAACTGCTCAGGAGCTGGGGAGCCAGCTTCTAGAGAGGGAGCCTTGGCTTCTGGTGTTGGCTCCAGCAGGAAACTATGTTTTGAGCAGGACCTCAGTTCACTGTTGGGGCAGTAGCAGGCTTGTAAACTCGCTTTGGCAACAAAACAGGTGAGGAAGCAGGGCTCTAGGAGCATGAGAAGGACTCCCAAGTAGGATGGCCATGCTGAGAAGGTCAATTTCCATCTTTTCCCTCTAGCAGCTTGATTTTGAGGAAGCAACCAGTGTGCTTTGGCCTAATCTAGAGGCTGGCCTCTTCTCCCCTGACAAGTTTCCTTCTAAGAGCAGCGAAACCCCTTCCACATGCTTGCTTATCTGCTTACCAGCCAACAACTAGACTTGGGACCAGGAGCTCAGCCTTGAAGGGCGGTGTAGGTCTCAGGGCTGGGCGCAGGCTGGACTGCTGGGGGGGCCTGGTCCTCCTACTCCATCCTGCCACCGCCAGTGTGCTAGCCACCAGAGCTAGCTCCCTCACTGCCATTGCTGTTGCCAAACTCTGGGGCTGGGAAGCAGGGTGACTGCTGTCCTTCTGGGGCCAGCCCTCTTTGAGCCAACAGGCCCCTGTTTACCGGTACATCTATGTACCATGCTAGGCCATATAGATCGTATGCATTATGAGCCATTAAATAATAATAGCTGAGGCACCATGCTACGCACTTTACTTACCTTATCTAGTTTAGTTTAGTTCTCATATCAGTCCTCCCAGACAAGGGTTATTATTATCCCTCTTATATAGATGAGGAGACTGAGGATCAGCAAGGAAAGCAACTTATTCGTGATCATATGGCTAGTAAATGGCAAAGCCAAGATTCTAACCCAGAGCCACTGACTTCAAAACTAAGTCCATCTACCACAGCGCCATGACGCAAGCAGCCCAGGGTAGGCTGCCAAGGAATCAGAGTGGAGGGAAGGTGGGTGGAAGCCACATCCTGACCTCCTAGAATCCTGCCTCCTTGACGCCTCTGAACAGGAGGAAGCCCTTACCCTGGGAACAGAGGCCACTGTGGCCCCAAGCAGGGGCTGCCAGAGCAGGTGGCTTAAGCAGGCTCTGAAAATCCGAGGAGGCTGGTAGTGGTGCTGAGCAGCAGAAGTCTGTGGCCTCACCACAGGGTGTCCTTGCTGGCCAGGTGCTGCTCCTGGCTGCCTGCCACCTGCCTGCTGGGAAGCCACATGGCCCTGTTCATGGGGCAGCTAGACCCTTGCCGCCATGTTCAACCCCACTCTCAGGTCACCTCTCCCAGTTGTCCCAGCCCCAGGACCCTGTGACAGGCTGTGGGCTCAGCGTCTTGGACCCCAACTCCTGTCATAGACCTTCTTTTCTGGGGCTGACTTGTCTCTGGGCTTGAGAGCAGAGTCACTGTGTGTAGCCACTTTTTCCTCCCTTTCACTCCTGGAAAGTCCTAAATACTGGCAGGACCCAGGAGGTTCTGGAGCTGAAAAATCTGGCTCATGCATGGCCCTGGGGGTGGGGTGGGAGAGAACTCTGATTCTGCTACTGGGTGCCCGAGTGACTTTGGTCAGGTCACCCCCCATCTCCAGGACTCAGTTTCCATAGATACAGTGAAGGAGTCGGACTCAAGACTTCCTAAGGTCCTGTCTTGCCCTAGTTGCTCAAGTGGGAATGCTGCCACCAAAGCTTGGGCCGTGAGGCAGTCTCCCCTCCAGGAGGGCCAATGAGTGCCCCCGCCCCCCTCATTCCCCCTCCTGCCTGCGTCCTCCTACCAACTCCAGCTGAGCTGCCATTCTACTTTGGGCTACTTTTCACTCTTAGGGAGTTTGCCGCCCCACACATATTGCATCCCTACCTTCCTCCCAGCCAGGGTGTCTGCAAGCTGTGAGGTGGGAGGCGCCTCAGAGACAAGCAGTCCTGGTGTACTCCTGGAGGTAAGAGGAGGAGGTCTATTGCAGTGGCACCCGGCCCCTCCACCTTGGGAGGCACTCTTCTTAGGACCAGGTCAGCCCAAGCCACAGTCATCTTTCCTCCTCAACTCACCCGGTCCGCCTCGCCTGGCTCCTGGTCTCATGAGAAAGTGGGAACGGGGAGGGGGACATTTACAGGGAGCCCAAAGCATGTCTTGCCCTCAGAAACCCAGGAAATGACAGCTACTGAGTGCCCCTTCAGGACAGGAAGCTGCCATGTGTGCACAGGCTGGGTGACTGCAGAGGGCCAAGGTTTGCTCAGCCCAGCTTCATTCTGATATGGTTCAGGGCAAATGCCTGCTACCTGAAGCCTCTTTGGTGAGCAGCTGACAGATGTTGGTGTCATTTTTAGGAATCTGAGCAGTGTGTGACCATGCTGGTAGGAAGACAGGACAGGATGGCAGGACAGATGGCCTCCATTCTGGGGCTCAGCTACCTAGCCCCTACCGAGGCCCAGGAAGCTCTCCCCCATGCAGAAGGCTTCCCACCAGCTCTGGGGCTTCAGCATGCCTCGTGAAAGGCTCCTGGGGCCCCGTTAAGGGAGGGCGTGTCCTTCCCTGGAGCCCTCCGGACTGTGGGCTTTTTGTAAACTTAGAGGAAACTGTTCCAGAAGCCCCTGATGCCCCCGGCCAGGGTTTGCATGCACTTCCTTCTCACCCCGACGCAGCTCACCTGAGGAGGACCTGCCCTGGCAGGGTCCAGAGGAGAAGGAAGGAGAAGGTTGCAGGAACGAGAGCTGTCATTCCGCAGGGACCCTGGAGCCCTTTCTCAGTCTGGCTGCCAAGGTGAGAGGGATAGCCCAGCAGGGGGGAACGCTGCAGAAAGTACAGAGCCTTCCTCCAACTTGGTCTGTTCACAAGGAGCCCGTGGGGCTGGGCTAGGAGTTGTGCGCTCTCTTTCCTCTTCTGCTCTCTTCTCCTCTGCCCTGTCGTTACCAGTCAGGGGCCAGAACTGGCCCCCTGGAAATGATCCTGACACAGATAACCTTTCGGGCTCCTGCTCTGGCTCGCCTGGGGTTCTGGAGGGCCTCAGCCCGCCTGCCAGGGAGCTGAAGGAGATTCTCTTTGGGCAGCAATCACTCTCCAAACCCTGGAGAGTCTTGGAGGGGAGGGAGGAGGGAGACTGGTAGGAAGATGTTTCCCTCCCTCCCACCTCCCCCTGGATGCACCCTCCGAAAGCAGCAATTTAAAGGCACAGTCGCCGGCAGCTGGAGTGGGGTTCGGAGCGTGTCCGTGTGCCAGGGAGGAGCTTGGGCTGCCGCTGCCGCTGGGAGAGGGCTGGAGGTGGTCTGTCCAGCTTCTAACTCTCCAGCTGGAGGAGCGCATGCAGGCTGCGCTGTTCCCAGCTCCCCAGCAGCATCCCTTTTGGCCTGGGGCTCTTGACGTCCTAATGATTCTTATGGGGGGGGGGGAACCTGAGAGGGTTTAGGCGGAGCCACTGGGTTTTCTCAAGCTGACAGCTTCAGGTTTGAGAGGAGATGAGAGGGAGGCTGAGGGCAGGGGCGGCTTTTCCTCAACCCTCTGGATGGAGGCACAGGGCATGGATGACACAGAGGAACTTTGGAATCTTCTTCATATGGGGTCTGCCTGCTTGTCAGTCTGTCCGTCTGTCTGCCTGCCCCATCTCCTTCATCCTTGCAGTTGCACATCCTTTTCCCTGCCTACTTTCTTCCCTCAGGTTGAGCTTGGCCAGCCCTCCGTAGCTCTTGGAAACCCCCTTTCCTTGATACCCTTCCCGAAGCCAAGCTTGGCTGTAGGATGGGATAGGTGTCCCTGGCAGGGCCAGACCGGGCCTGGCACACAGCAAGCTTTGCAAGCTTCAGAGGAGTCAAAGGGGCCGAGAGCAATGACCTGGCCACCCAGCCCCGGATGGATGAGAGAGGACGGGAGGGTGAGTCTATCCCCTTCCTGGCCTCTGCCCATTTGCTTACAGCATCCAGGTGCTCTAGCAGCCACATGTCTCTTGCTAGACCCTTCCCCAAACTTTCCCAGGCAGCAGCTCAACTGCTCTGGGACTTCCCCCAGTGCCTCTCCCTCTCTCTTTTCCTTCACTCTCTTCCCCCCTCTCCCTGATGCTTTCCTCCATCTTTCCTCTCTCCATCTCCACCTCCCTCCTTGTTTCTTCTCTGGGTTTCACCTTCGGATTCTGTCTCTCCCTCTTCTTTGGCCCTCACTTTCTCTCCATCCTCGGTTTCTCTCTCCACCTCCCTGTTATCTCCATTCTCTTACTCTCTTCTAAATCGCAACAGTGAGAAGCCAAGGTGTTTCATTTCTTCTTCAATGGAAACTCTCACACCAGCTCTGCTGAGTTCTGAGTGTGTATAGGGGAAGGGTTGGTGCCTCTTTACAGGGGTCAATTCTAGAGTTGACTGCAGCATGCTCCACCCCAGCATCACCAGATAGGGGTTTGCAGGGATTTCAAGCTGTCTAGGGGCCCGTTGTGTTGTTAGAGGGAGTAATGATGACAAGGTAACAATGGGTGGAACTTGCACTCTATCTCCTTTGGTTTGGGTTATTATTCAAGAGGAGGGATTTTTAAATCACAAATGACAGGGAAAGATCATTTTAAACAATATACACTGAAATGTTGATGGGAGGGGCGCTGGGCTTTTGGAATTGAGACTAGGGACATTACAAGCCTCAACTAACGTTTATATGGCCAATAAGTACATAAAACGTCAAAGTACTAATTTTCCTAAAAACCTTTTTAGCAGCCCCTTTACCTGTTCACCCTCCCTCCTTGTTGCTGGTAAGCACCACAATGCCCACTCGCAGACTACAGGCCAGAAGCAAGCCTTATAGAACCTTTCCTGGCAGAGCTCCTGAAGAGGGAGCTAAGGGCAAGTAGGGGTGTGGGGAGGCACTTGTCTCCTCTGTGTAATTCACTCGTTTCCCCTGCCTCAACGGTTCCCTCTTGCTCTCAGGCTGAAGTTCAAGGTGCCACATGATCTGGTCACTCTGTTTGTCCCACTGATGTGTCTAGAGTCACCTGTCTCTCCAGCTTCTGGGTAGTTTCACATGTTCCTTCTACCAAAGCAATTTTCCTGTCGCTCCTACCAAGTCCTGTAAACTAAGCTTTATTGTCACTTTCTCAAAAAAGACTTCTTGAAGTGCCCTCACCAACCCCCCGCCCCCTGCTCAAGTCTGGGTTGGGAGACCCTCCAATGTGTTCCAACAGGACCCTGGCCTTTCCCCTTCACAGCATCCATCACACTTAGCTACAGTCGCCTGCTTACTTACCTCTCTCCCCTGCTGTACCCTGAGCGCCCTGAGGGCAGAGACATATTATCCACCAACTCCCTGGGGCCCAGCCCAGAGCATGCCACATTATAGGCAATTAGTGTGTGTTTCTTAAAAGATGCATCCTGGGCTCTCAGAAATGGTTCCCTGAGCCCAGTGCCTCTGCATCTTTGTCAAGCTGGGATGATAAGTGTGACACTCCAGACAGAAGACCAGCATGAGGTAATGGTACTAAGGAGAAATGAGGAAACCATTTTTATTCTCTTGCCCCTTAGGCCTGTGGCCTCATACTCAGTCATCTGAAATTCTTGGCTAATGGAAGTCATAGGCCCCTGGGGACTGGTGCACTGTCTCAGTCTCACCTCTTTTGTGCCCCATGGGATCCCTGAGTGGTAAGAGCATTAGCAGGGTCAGCTTGCTGGGAGGAAAGATCCTTTCCTAGGAGAGGCTGCAGTGATGACCAAATGTATGGCTGGCATGATGAACGGGTAACAGCTTTCCTAGGATTCTGGAAATAAACTTTTTGGGAGCAGAAGGGAGGGGGAGGTGGCAAAGAACTGGGTAATTTCTCCTAGGAATTGACAAGAGGCAGGAGAGATGCCCACTCAAGAGTTCCTGTGCTAACAGGAAGCCACACTCTCTGAAGATGACCTTAGCATTTTCTGACCTGGGAAGAAGGGTACAAAGTTGTGTGCAGCCTTGCCCCATAACCCTTCTGTCTTCTTATCGTCAAACTATGATGGATATGATTCTCCATGTTCCAAATGTATAACACCCTTTTTCTGTTTTTTTTTTTAATCTTTTTTTTAAAGATTTTATTTATTTGAGAGAGAGAGAATGAGAGACAGAGAGCATGAGAGGGAGGAGGGTCAGAGGGAGAAGCAGACTCCCTGCCGAGCAGGGAGCCCGATGCGGAGCTCGATCCAGGGACTCCAGGATCATGACCTGAGCCGAAGGCAGTCGCTTAACCAACTGAGCCACCCAGGTGCCCCCCCTTTTTCTGTTTTGCAACTGACGGTGACACTGGCCCAGAGAACTGACTGTATTGTGATGTTGAGGTTGTGTAGAGGCTACGATAGGCAAAATGTTTTTCAGGATGCAAAATATTATTTCATCGTGAAAAAACTACTGAGCTGCTAAAAATGGATTAAGCACATTTTCACAAATGTTTCATTCCAGGAGTCTGTCACATTTCAGCCCTATGCAAGGAAAATTGCAATTGTGCCCTCGTGACAAGCAGGCTTCCCAAAACTTCAATCTGAGGGGCAGCATATCTGTCGGGGTGGGTATTATTTGGTTAATTCTGTGATTTCTAGGGCTTACTTTTGGGGACTAGTTTGGAGAATCATTTGGCATACCTTCCTGGACCCAACTCCCTCATATTGCGTGTCCCACTTATTGAAGTAGAAACTGGTTTGAGGGGTACCTCAGAAGGCAAGATCTATCCCCAGTCTGATGGAACTCACAGAACATTAGGTACTTCTCAGAAGCATTGAGGTAAGAAGTTTTTTTTTGGTGGTGGTGGTGAGGGGAGTGAAATAAAAGACAAATGCCTTTTAAAAAATCTGCTGACAAGGACCAGGGTGTTTCAGTTGGATCTCCAAGGAGCAAGGCTGCATCTTTTTGCCGTGTGTGAGTTTTTCTTTTCAGGGTCATTTGCAACCTCCATGGATGTGACAGTTTACTCAAAAGTGGAGGCTCAAATTTTGGTGCTAAGGGAGCACTGCGGGTAGAGGTGGGAAGAGTGACGGGTTTAAGTCTGATGTTTCAAAGATTAGCCTTTCTTCTTTTTATGGAATATCTCAGGCATGGGTTTTACAGACAAAGCCTGAGGTCTCTGAACTTGGGGGGAGCCTGTTAGAGAGGTTTACTGAGCTCTTCCCAGTCCTCAAAGACAAACTAGGTATCAACACCAAGATAGCACCATTGAGCAATGGTACCACCTCTGTTGCTAGGCTTTCTGTTTAGTCTCCAGGGGACAACAGAGATGTGGGGCTCCAGCCAGGGAAGGTGTATTGATTACCACCCAGGTATGCACCATTTATCCCCTGGTGGACCCTCAGAATCATTCCTCATCCAATCAGCCACTTGAGAGCAATTCTGAGGGCATGCAAAAGATTTTCATTAAGGTTTCCACAGAGTTTGCCTTGACTCTCCTTCTCTCTTGGCTCTTATAACTCTGAAACATTCTTTTTTAGGAACAATAGGACCATGTCATGCCTCTCCTTGAAAGTAAATTGGTTTTTACTTGTGATCAAGCTCATGAATATCTTATTTCACTCATTTGGAAATTGTGATCATCCAAGCCATGTAAGGTGTGAAGCCCTTACATAACATAAAAGCAACAGAACTTGGAAAGATGAATAAATATTTACTGTTTGGAATGGATCACATTCCCACCAATTCACATATATGCTCAACAAATATTTATTGAGGGCAAATCATATGCCAGATGTTCTAGGTGCTGGACATATAGCAGTGAACAAAGCAGATGAAGTCCATGC